CCCTGCGCCGCTGCGGCCTGGGCTCTGTCCCGCGGCTCTGCCGTGTGCCTGGGGTCACCTGTGGAGGATGCCGCTGCGTAGGTGGTGAGGGGTGTTCAATCGCTGGGTGGGCTCTGAGCCCTTCAACTGGGCTCTAGATGCCCAAAATGTTGCAGGGGTCGTTTTTGTTGCGTGTAACCGCTCGGTTAAACCGTAGTTCTCTGTAAGCGTGCTGTACATAGGCTGTCATTTAATCCTTTCTTTATGTTGGCTGAAAGAAAATGTTTTATTCATGCTAGCTATGGTAGTCTTGGAAGATGGTTTTTCAATTTTTTTTCCCCATAGTATAGCCGACAGTTACTCTGCAAGTGGATGTATTTAGCATAGTATAATTCAGTGCCTAGGTAAAATTGAGTGCAAGCTATGTCACAGTCTATTTTTACGGTCTTTCTTAATAATACTTTCAAATGGGTTTTCAGCACTGAAGAATGATTTCACTTTATCTGGAAATGAAAAAGAAAAATAAATGAAGTGTCAATGTCTCTTACAGTGATCCTTAGAAGAATTCAGGTTATTCACACTGTGAGATTTGGACAATCTCTGTTCTTCATAGTTAAGCCTGTAGTGTAAGATTCACCTCAGCGGATCTGTGTGATACTCCAAGGCAAATCTCACTTTTGTGAACCGTATAGAAAGTTAGAGGAGGAAGGTGGCAGACAAAAACAAAAGGAGTGCTAGGTTTTGTTTGTCTGTTTACGGGTGCATTGTCAGAAAGCAGAATCCACAAAATTTGTTTTCTAAATGCACCCTTCTTGAGCCTGAAATGATCTTGTACCTATAATGCAGATAGGGGATGGCTTTTGATTTGTCTTTTATTTGTTAGAGTGTCTGAGACTCTAGCTTTTTTTTTTTTCCATTGAAAATTTGCAGTTTTCAATTGTGGGTTACTCTGTTAAGTCTTGTATTCTACAGCGAGTGCTGTACTTACTTTTTTGTTCAATTATAAGAAGACGTGATGCCAGCAATCCAGTGCAATATTTCTTGTGAATATTAGATTAGGACTATAAATTTACTGCTGAAATGAATGACATAAAGGAAACTGAAATTATATTATTTTTCAAAAGGTTTTATTTAAACAATTTACTGTTCAGGAAGAAGAAATAACAATGATCTTTTTCTTTTGGGCATTCTCTTATTTGTTAAAGTGTTAACTTTTTAACTTTTTTTTTTTACAATAAATACTCAAGCTTTGTAAATCACAGTATTTTGTAACTTATAGCTTGTGCTTCTTATCATTGGGGCTTTTTTTTTTTTAAGTTAAAGAAAATATTAAGGCAAGTCATGTCTTTTAAACTTTGGGAGATCAAAAACATGTAAAGCTGCATTGTTTACTATCGTAAGTCACTTCTGCATTTTATTTTACAAAATTGTAAATTGCTGTCAAGATCTCCTGCTACTTTTCTGAGGAGCAAAAATGAACATGACTAAATACCAGTAGTTGTGACGGCTGTGCAGTGCACCAGGTTAGGTTTGTTACCAGTTTTCCAAAAACTATTTGTTGAAGCTTTAGGGAGGGTGAACTGCTTGAGTGGAAGTGGTCCTATGATTGTCTTTATTCCTCAAGAGGGGAGGAAAAAAAAATTGAGGGGACAGATGCTACTTCTTTCCTTTCTCTTCTCTTATCCATAATTCTGTCTGTAGCTGCTTCTTACTTCTGTTAACTTCTGTGAATTGTTGATGTTTGTTTTTTTTTGTTTCTTCTCATGTTTCGGTATAGTTGCCTTACATTCTAATCTTACCTCTTTTATACTACTAGCTTCAAGTTTTGTCTATGAAACTGCTTCAAACCAGTTGGATGTTCTAGATGAAGTGCTTCATCACCTTAAATATAGCTTTCAATAAGAAACATGAATCTCCTATTTGTTTTGTGTTTTATTCAGTTGAAAAGTCCTGGTGATTTGTTCCATTAGCCTGGGTTAACTTGTTAAATTCGTGTATCTTTGTTCCTGTAGTAACACATTACCACTTTCACATGTTCATTTCTTCCCAAAGCTACTTTGACTAAGAAATGTAGTGCCACATCTTGTAAATGAGATGATATATTTCAAGTTTCAAGGCACTATATTCTAGGTTTCAAAGTAGTTGATACAGTTGCATCTGTTGGTCTCTTTGGAGTGTGTAGGACTTTTGATAGTGTGTTCCTACGGGCTGGACTGTCAATTTATCTCCATGGAGCTGTATAAATGTTGAATTAGCTGCAATGTATTATAGATTCAATTCTTAACCTTTAAATATATTGAGAATATTCAGTTTTGATGAATGGAACTACTCTATTATAACTTTACTACTTGCAAAAATAGCAATAACTTTGGATGTCTTGGATAGTATTAGAAAATACAAATACTATAGAGGGCAGGTATAGCTTCTGAAGTTTTCTAGTATACTCTAACTGTGCTCATATATTCTATAAATATCTGCAGTTACACAATAGCCAGTAAAAGCAAAATATTTTAAGTAGTGGGTGTTTCATCTAATTAGCCTTCATGGAAGTGATAGACTATTCTCTAATCCTCACACTATTAGGTTGGGAGTACTGCAGAAATATTTGGGTTTGGGAGCCCAGTTAAGATTTATTGTAGCAGTTTTCTCATGTATCCCATGCAGGAATGACTAGATAGGAATGACCCGGGAGCTTTCAAACACTGCATTCAAAATCAAGCCTTTTGATAATAGCTGAGTAGTTTGGCTGTGTAGGAGCTGCATATAAGGTCATTCATGCTGTACTTCTTTTTAGGAGAGAAGAATTTATGTGAATGCCTTCATCTGGTGCTGATTCTGAATGATAGGTAGCATCTGTGCAAGCCCATTAAAATGGGTTTTACATATTTCTGTGTGAGTTTTTGTTGGCTTTTCTTTGAGGTGGTGGATGGATGCACTGTATAACATTGTTAGGTTAAGAGGTTTTGGAAAATAAAACTGGAAAGTTCTATTTTCAGGAGATCATACATCAGCACTGGTTTGTGATTAAATATTGTTGGGAAAAATTGTACTTTAGGCCTGCCTGTAATCTTATTTTTGTTTGTTTGCTCATTTTTGGAGGAGTGCTTTAGAGGAAATACTGTCTGAAACCAGATTTATGAAAGCTCAGCAGCTTTAATTACAAAACAGCCTCCACTGCTACTCCTGTACGTAGGCTAGTCTAGTCTCTTCCAGTTTAAAGTACGAGAATGTGTTATGAGGATCATATCAATGTGTCATTCTGCAATAGGAATTCTTCTCCAGTACAAAGAAATAAGTTCCCAAGAGTATTATATTTGGCTATTATAGTCTTGAATCCAGGTTGCTGAAATAAACTGTAGACTTGGAGAGCTTGGTTGTGGGGTGCTTATTCAAGGATTTATTCTCTATTCTTGATCTTTGATCTCTGATCTCTAAAGGGGGTGGGGCTTTTTCTGTGTAGCCACTGCTTTCTGCATAAATTCTTATCTACTACCTTGCTCATCTGTCTGCTGCTAAGTTCCTCTGTTTTTCTACCTGCTTCCCAATATCCGTATTTTTGTTGTTGTTGTTCTTTACTCTATAATATGGATATTTGTGTTTAAAATGGAATTTTGTCCTTTGCTTTAAAATAATCCTCTCCCCTTTCCCCCCACCAAGTTATTTGTTAGTAAGCTTGTACTCCCATTTATGAAACGTCTCTGTCTAATCACGTGCATAGAATGATCTGAAGACTGAAACTTGTCAGGACAAACGTCTTTACTATCATTAAAGCTATGGCTGAATAGCGTAGCATAGTTAGTCCATTGTTTTGAAAGCATAGTTTCAGACAACTTATATTACTAGGGCAAAGAGTAACCTCTGAAAGGCATAAACGTAGAAGCTCTTATTGTTACTCTTGGTGTAATGGACCATTCTTAGCAAAGATCCAGTGTTGAATTTACAATTTTTCTAAAATGTTTTGTGTGATGAGAGAGTTGCCTAGCAGTTAAGCTACCACGCTTGTTCTGAAGAGGTATATTTAATGCTAAGTGAGATATAGTTTCTGTCTGTTAGTGTGAAGTCATCTTCCTGTAACATGAAATAAATAGAGGTTCTTCTTGCAAATAGCTGTGTCTGCGTCCATCAGGCTATCGCGCTGATATATCCTTAGCTTTTTGTTGCTCCTGTGTATCATCTCATCTGAAGCTGCTAATTGAGCTGTTATTGTGAGCAGTTTCTGGACATTTCACTTTAGATGTGCAAGATGTAGGTCTCCATTAGACTGTCTATCTAACTGAAACATGTTTAGGGAGACTCACAGGAGCACTTTAACTGGCAGGTGGAGGAAACTGACTGGGAACAAGATTGGTGACTTCTTTTCCTAGCACAGCCAAATCTAGAAGAGCTGTTGGTGCACAGCTGGTGAAGGAAGCTTGAACTAATTCAAGTGCTTTTGCCAACAGCACATTGAGGAGTGTTCTCACAGTCCCTTTTGACGTGAGAGCTTTGGGCATAAAAATGTCCTGCTGGTTGTGAGTAGCTGGGAGCAGCTGCATCATTGACCAGCCTGCTGGATCCACAAGAAGACTTCCATCTGTGGACTTATTCTAAGTGAGCTCAGAAGAATTCGATATGTCCTTTTAGAAATGCAGCAAGAGTTTTGAGGGACATTGAAAAATTGGACCTTGTATGATTCAGGCTTTGATCACAGGTTCAGCTCTGGTACCCAAATGATGAAACAGCAAAATCAGTAAATCAGTTTGTGGGGAATTCTTGTCCATGTCATCAGAGTTATTTGGAGCATCTCTTTAGAAGGTACAGAAAGAAGCCTGTTTCCTTGAAAGTGTCATAAATCCTATCTTTGAGTGAAGAGCTGCATTTCAGATTCAGGGTGGCCTGAGGACGTTTAAAGAGTAAAACTTGCTGCCAGGAGTATATTCTTTCCTCTCTTTAACAATCTATTGCATGTATTCCCTAACTTAAAGCTAGAACCCTTGTTGATTTCTGTCGTCTTATAAAACTAGCTAGATTGGTTGGCATGGCTAGGTGGGACAGCAGTACCTTGACTCAAAATAAAACTTGGTTTGTCCTTTTGAGTTGATGCAGCCTTATCCTTTTTACTCTGG